TTTTGTTTATGTTTGATGGATACTGAAACGGGTCAACTGAGACGTACGATGTCTTTTAAGTTTTTCATATGGAAATAAAACCACACGGTAGATAGTTTTAAATGACTTTATTGTTTTTCGAAGTATTCTCCACGAAGATTAATACACATCTGCATGCGCTCGAACCAATTTTCGAAGCACTTATTCCACTAGTTTGCTGGTAGATCCAAAACGGCATTTTTGAATGCGTCAACTGCTTCTTCTGGTGACTGGAACCTTTGACCACGCAGTCTGTTTTTAATTTTCGGGAAAGTAAAGAAATCTTACTTAGATCGGGACAATATGGAGGATGATCCAATAATTCCACGTTTTCTTCCGTTAAATACTGCCTTGTTTTTTGGGCTGTGTGCGACCTTGCATTGTCTTGGTGGAGGACGATTTTTCTTTCGGGGTTGATTTTTCGAAGCTCGGTGATGACTTTTGGCAAACAAATGGTGGTATACCAATCCGCAGTAACAGTTCTTTACTCATTAAGAGGAATTGTTGCATCATGACCCGCTTTGACACAAATGTCGCGACCATCTTTGTCGAAACACTTCGAGAACGGATGACTTTTGTTGGCTTTTCTTCACCTTGGAACACCCAAACAGCTGACTGTCGTTTATTTTCTGGTTCATAACAGTAAATCCACGATTCATCACCACTAACAATGCTGTACACATTTTTTGAGTTTCCGAAATTGAAACGGTCAAGCGTTTATTTACATCAATTAACCGTGGCTGCTTTCTGCTCTTCAGTCAACAGGTGGGGTATCCAACGAGAAACTAATTTTCTTACTCCTAATTCTTTATGTACAATTTTTTGAATTGAGGTCTTTGAGATCTTCAAGAACGCCTCAATCTCGCGATATGTCACATGTCTATCTTCAATGATGAGTTTGCGCACAGCATCGACGTTTTCCTGGGTGACTGCCGTTTTTGGTGCACCCACCCTGGGATCGTCGCTAAGACTCACCCGTCCACGTTTTAATTCTCCATACCAACGGGAAATTGTCGACTGATGTGGCGCTTCGTTGCCGAAAACAGACAGACACTCAGCAAGGCATTCTTGTTGCGATAATTGTCTCTGAAAGTTGTAATAAATTATGGCGCGAAAATGTTCTCGGTTGAGTTCCATTTTTCTAATGACTTGGTGACACTTAAAAATTCACTGTAGTGAGAACAGTGCTCGTATTGTGGTGAAACTTTGAATTGCAGTTTACTAAAGAGTGAGGTTAAGATTCTGTACTGACGTTCGATCCGCGCGGCTTACTGTGTTTCTATACGCAAAACTTAAAAGACATCCCTCGTACACATCAAGTCTCACCTGCTTTCGCCAACGAATTCAGATTAGGTCTGATTTGTTTGACATTAATATTATGTAGTCAGTAGTCAGGATGCAAGTTCTTACTACTGTAATGTCTTAGTTGGTATCAATAATACCCGGAAGTATACTAATGGTTTATTATATATCACCGATAACTGTTACAAATACGGAACCCCGACATACTGTGTGTTAAACGTATCCCGGTGAGAGTACTCATCGTACATGCGCAATTTTCGGGGAACCAGGGGCGTACTTAATATACTACATTCATCTCCCCCGAAAATTGTTAACAGTGATCAGATGGGTAACAATAAAAAAAAGAAACAATTAATGAATGGTTAGTATTGGAGCCTATCCGGTACCTTACGGATACGTATGGGTCGTGTAAGTTCAGCCTGTTCACCAATGGAGCTAGAATCCGAGTCACTGACATCCACGCGTTCACTATCCGCGATTCCGGCATCCACAAACACAGCCATCACTATTGGAAAAAACGTTTACAGTGTGCGGTAGCTCCACGCAGGGTGGGTAGACCAACGAATAATCATCATTTAGTTCTCTGATCTGATTAGTATGTCTTTTCCAAAGGAAATTTGAATCTAGTGGTCGAACAACGTAAACGTTTTTCCCTAAAATTTTAACAATTTGTCCTTTACACCAAGTTACTTGTTTATCGCGATAATCTTTAACCAACACAATTTGGTCAATATTAAAACATACTTTCCTATTTCCTCTGAAGTATTTTGCGTTTCTTCGTTGAGAACGTTGTATGTTTTGGTAAACATTTTCAAGTTCAACTTTTTCATTGACTTGGACTGAGCTTGGTCTAAGCATGTCAAATCGAGTTCTCAACGAACGACCTAAAAATACTTTAGCAGGAGAATAACCAGTAGAACAGTGAACAGTATTCCTATATGTCATAAGGAATTGAGCTAATAGTAAATTACAGTTCTTTTGATCACTAACCTTTTTCAAAAAATTTTAACAGTTTTTACGCTATTCTCAGCTGCACCATTACAATGAGGTTCATAAGGCGGAATAGTTATTAGTTTAATACCATTAACATTTGCAAATTGTTTAAATTCTTCTGACACTAACTGGGGACCATTATCACTTGCAATAGTCTTAGGCAATCCAAATCTAGAAAAAAGTTCTCGCAGCTTTGTAATAGTCATGTTAGTGGTAACAGATGCCATCGGAAATACTTCAAGCCATTTGGATAAGGCATCAACGACAATCAAAAAGAAATTGTTTTTCTTCGGTTCAAAAAAATCTATATGTATCCGCGACCAAATGCCCTCGGGTATTTGCCAACATTGTAACGGTGCCTTGGCCGGCGATGATTGCAAGCGTTGACATATGTTGCACTGCTTACTAACACTTTCAATATCATCATTCAAGGACGGCCACCAAAAGTAAGATCTCGCAAGATACTTCATTTTAACAATTCCCAAATGGGTAGCATGCAACTCCTTCAATATCACCTCTCGTAACTGAAATGGTATGATAACTCGATGTCCCCAAAGCAGGACATCGTCTTCAACATTGATTTCATTTTTCCTACTGAAATAAGGTTTCAATTCATTACTTTTATGACTTGCAGGCCACCCCTTTTTAACAAAATTGAGTACCTCAGAAAGTACTGAATCTGAGGATGTAAGTTCTCTGACCTTGTTAACATCGACTGGTATACTAGAATCGGAATTAGTGAGATAATTTAAATGAATGGGGAAGTCGATCAGTTGCACAGACATGTCATCTTCAATCGGCATTCTGCTTAAGAAGTCAGCTACATTTTGAATGGGTGACACATGCTTGATATCAAAATTGAAGCCACTCAGAAAATGTGCATATCTCTGCAGTCTATTTGCTGCCATCACTGGAACACCCGTTTTAGGTCCAAAAATTGACATGAGTGCCTTATTATCTGTGACCAAGGTAAATTTTCTACCCCACAAATATTGGTAAAATCTTTTAATACTCCAAACAATCGCGGTAGCTTCTTTATCCAAAATAGAGTATGCCAATTCGTTTTTCGAGAGAGTTCTTGACGCATAACAAATTGGCTTTTCGACATCATTTTCAAAAACATGAGATAAAATTGCTCCCACTCCATAGTCCGAGCTATCAATAGTCAAAGTAACTGGTAGGTCAGGATTATAATGCACCAACACATCGTCAGAACATAATGCAAGTTTAATATACTCAAATGAATCCTGACATGTTTTATCCCATGACCAACTTACATCTTTTTTCAAAAGATTATATAAAGGGTGAAGTATATCTGGGAGATTTCTGATGAAACGATTATAATAAGTGATACTGCCTAAAAAAGACTTAAGTTGAGTGACATTTTTTGGTGGAGAAATGTCGCGTATTGCCTTAACTCTTTCTAAACTTTTATGTAGGCCTGTCTCGTCTATAACAAACCCTAAATATGAAATGGAATCAGCCAAAAACACACACTTTTCTTTTCTAACAGTGAGACCACATTCGGAAAGACAAAGTAAAACCCTTTTCAAATTTCTAATATGATCTTCTTTATCGATACCTGTAACTAAAATATCATCAAGAAAAACACATACACGGGGCATTTTATTGAACAGCTGTTCCATAATTCTTTGAAATTGTGCTGGAGCGCAGTTTATTCCAAACGGCAATCTATTGAATTCGAATAAACCTTTGTGAGTCGAAATAGTCGTAAATTTTTTTGAAGAGTCCTCGAGCTCTATTTGATTGTAAGCCGATGAGAGATCAATTTTGGAAAATTGCTTTCCATTTTTCAGTTTTGTGAATAAATCGTCAATTCTAGGCAAGGGAAATTTGTCCACTAGAATAGCTGAATTAATAGTTACCTTATAATCACAACAAATTCTTATTCCTCCATCTTCCTTCAAAATTGGTACTATTGGGGTACCCCATTCTGAAAACTCCACTGGAGATATTATACCATTAGAGACTAATTTATCTAATTCCTCCTCCACTTTACCTTTAATTGCAAATGGTAACGGTCTAGGTTTATGGAAAATGGGACTTGCATCAAGTTTAATATTTATGGAGATCTTACACTTGTTGAACCTTCCCAAATTGGTTGCAAAAACGCCAGGAAACTCATTACATAGAGCATCAACAGCATCGTTGTTCAAATAATGAATTTCTCTAAATCCCATATTATAATTCCTAATAAAATCTCGACCTAGGAGCAATGGATTGTTACCATCAACAACAAAAAAGCGTAGGATGCTATCTTTGAAATTAAATTTAACATTTAAGTTGATTGTGCCATGTGGGATGATCTTATTGCCAGAAAAATTAATCAAGGAAACATTTGTTTTTTTCATGACGTGAGCACCAAAATATGTTTTGTAAACATGAAGTGGCAAAACACTAACAGCTGATCCACTGTCAAGTTCAAATTTCAACATGACATTCTCAACTAAAATATCGATATATAGTGGCACATCATTGTTGCTTCCTAAGCTAGAAATACTTAGAACTGGGGATGAAAAAACGACTGTATAATCCTCAGCAATATCATTATTAGGAAAAACATAATTAACGTGCTTAGGTGAGGATTGTTTTTTCTTTTTACACACCACACTGAGATGACCCCTACCGTGACAAGAGTTACAAATATATTCCTTATAGGGGCATACATTACTGTTGTGGTTCCTCCCGCAGCGGAAACAGCCCGGAGAGCGACCAGACGATGTGAACGGCTGTAGCTGTGGCAGCGCCATGTTTGAGCTGTTGCCCCCACTCCTGCGCGTGCCTCCTTGGCTCCGCTGCGCTGCAGGTACTGCTGTCCCTCTATGATACCGTTGAGGATCTTGATGTTGATCGCCAGTGGCACCAACATTTGAATTATTTTGTGTAATTCGAAAAACATCGGATTCTAAGACCTCGCTTTTAACTTCACCAACTGGGTCTCTTATTACTAGCGTTGCTTCAATAATTTTGGCCTTTTCAACAGCGTTATTTAAGGTGGTGTTCTCGTTTAGGCTGAATAATTCAGTTCTCACCTTCCCAGGATTGAACTGCGTAACAAAAATGTCCGTTAGCTTGGACTCAAGCTGCTGACCAAAATTGCAATAGCGAGCTAAACCTTTAAGTCGTACACTCCATTCTAGTGCCGTCTCATTTCCTGATTTGGATGCACTATAAAACTTCTGCCTTTCGACCCATACAACAGCAGTTTTACCATAGTAGTTAGACAATAACTGAACTATGTCTTGGTATGGGGTTTCTTCCGGCTTTTGCGGCATACATAAATTTTCTAATAAAATATACGCCTCCTCAGACAAACTATACAGCAAATGAGCTCTCTTGTCAGCTTCTTCAGTGACCCCGTGTACTATAAAATACTGCTCTAACCTTTTGAAGAAAACTTCCCACTCGTTCTCCTTGGGATTGAATGTGAGCACGGGACCCGCTGCTGCAACTGCCATCTTTCTTGTGCACAGATTGGTTCACCAACAACTGGAGGTTTCAACACAAACGGGGAGTTTACACACACTTAACCTCACCCGGCGAGTTCTTTAATAATCCTCGTCGCCATGTAATGTCTTAGTTGGTATCAATAATACCCGGAAGTATACTAATGGTTTATTATATATCACCGATAACTGTTACAAATACGGAACCCCGACATACTGTGTGTTAAACGTATCCCGGTGAGAGTACTCATCGTACATGCGCAATTTTCGGGGAACCAGGGGCGTACTTAATATACTACAACTACAAGTCGATCAGTTTGACAGTTGTTGACATTTCACATGAATTCGTATTTTTCTGCGAAAACATACACGTGTTCCTTACAGGTACCCAAAATGGTCTTCCGCCTTCCAAAATTACGAATTACTCGAGAATTGTTCATATGCTAAACCGTTAATAACTATTTACTTCCGTTTCATTGCCTTATTTAACTTCTTCCTATTTATTAATAATACATAGTAAGTCTGCCCTGCTGTACACCCAGTACAAATGGCTACTTATCCTTTCCAGAGAATAGAATGTACGCCGATGTATTGGTTTGCCACTTTGGTACGCGAATCTACCCAAAAGTGTACCGGATGTTTTAAATTCGACCGTCACCACTGGGATTTCGGAAACGGATACGAAGTCGCTTAAATGGAGCCAAAGTTGCGTATTTAGGTAGCTAACAAAACTGATTTTTTCCAAAATCGTATACAATTTTTCCTGACTTCAATTGTTGTGGGAATTCAAAATAAATTGCGCATCAACATTGCCACTTTTTCTCCTCTACAAGATAGTATACATATGACGTTTTGTCTTTTGCCGTCCAGCATCAACTTTATTTTTTTCTAATGAACGGTCATACAGGAATTTTGCACAGATGAATGGAGTTTTTAATTCCGCTTCAAAAAAAAATAGAGTATGTCATACATGGACATTTCCAAACCTCAGTTATTTCAAAAAATATAATTTCCTAGGTAGGCCTTGAAATTATCAGATCAGTCATTTGTTTTGTATACCTGGATTTATCGCAAAATCGTTGTTTATTTCCTGGTTTTATTTGAAATGGGATTTTAGAAGAAACTGCATTGTCAGTCTTTCTCACCTGCAAAAAGGCGTTGCCAAATTTTCAATTGGATGTTTCTGCTTTCGTTTTCCATCATCAACTTTGTTGTTTCTCATGGATTCCATATTACAATTTTGCGCAACTGAGCACACTTTTTGATTGTGCATTTAGATATGAATATAATACCTTTATTTATGCCACATATCTGATTAGAGTAATATTTTATTCTTAGTTTTATTTAAATGAACGAAATTCCAATATAGCATCCATATAAAAAACCAACTCTGGTGATGAAAGTAGAAAGATGGAACTTCGGATTGAAAATATGACTGCGCCATCATGTAAAGGGCAAAAAGTGACAATGACATCATGCAATTTATTTTAAAATCTCATCTCAAATAAATTCAAAAAAAAAACTGATTTTGCGAGAAATCTGGTATAGGAAGCAAATGACTGTCTGATAATTTCAAGGCCTGCCTAAAAAACTGTTTTTTTAAATAACTAAGATTTGGCAATGTCAACGTATGATACGTTTTACAGTTTTGAAATCATAAGAAAAAATTAAGTTGGTACTGGAGAACAACAGACGAAACGTCATAGGGAAATTCTGATTATGCCATTTGGAAAGAAGAAGTGGCAATGTTAATATACAATTTATTTTAAAACTCCACTACAAGTCAGGAAAAATTAAGACGATTTTGGAAAAAATCGGTTTTTTCCGTCTCTCTCAAGTACATTGAATCTCAAAACATTCTAAGCGGCATTTTGCTACCTGAATACGCAATTTTGTCCCCATTTAAGCGACTTCTTATCTCTCACCTTTTCCGAGACCCCAATGATGAGGGTCGAATTTGAATTTGGTAGTTATTGATCACCCCGTAGTAGAGTGGTCATCGTGACAAAATCATCGATTGACCCGGTCTGGTCCAGCTTAGTAGGTTAGCTTTGGGGCCGGGCCGTGGCGATCGCTGATGTCAAACGGACCAGCATACAACACATAATAATCGATGCAACGCCGCGTTCTGCAGCTCCGCGGCAAGCGGACAAGTCAAAAGTTCATCGCAACTGTGGCCAGTGACGGATCCACGGGGGGAAACAACTCGTCGGAGATTCCCCCACCAAATAAAAGATCGCTGAAAAAAGAAAATACGCAGGAAAATCAGCGCATTTTATTACATTCGTCGTCTTTCAAAATGTTACTTTGATAACTGGTGAATCTTAATTTTGTAAAATGGACAAGCCATGCCACCTTTAAAAAAAAAGATCAAATATATACAGCCTAGCAAACTGGCCCTTGGTTAACACTATCTAACCCAAGAAAAAAAATCCAGACTCTCCAAAATAGATTCTTAAAATACCTGCATATAATTTGGCACGAACTGATTAATTACCCTCATTACGTATTGCTCAACAAATTGCTCAATAAGTATCATACTATTGTATTCTATTCTATCACTGGAAAAAGAAAAACATGCAGGAAATTTGACGTGTTTTTTACATTGATCTTTCAAAATGTTAACTGGTTAATGTTAATTTCCTAAAACGGATTGATTTGAATACTTAAGATTGCTGTCTATATTCCTAGGGCGGATCCAAGATGCTACCTTCTCTTCAAATAATAATAATAATAATAAATGTCTTTATTAATCAGCATACATCAGTGAGGCGAAGTTTAGCCAAATGGCTACTCTTACACTTAACCTCACTGTGTACGAAAGAGTAACACAGTTAAACTCGATACACAAACAAACAGTAGTAATAATAAGAAAAAGAAACAAATGCACACTTGAACTATTAATATAATAATAATAATAATAATAATAAAGTGTCATAAAAATAAAACAAACCAACAACTCAAACACTGAGAGACGATTGCATCTCCAATAGCTGTTTTCCAACTGATTTCTTAAAAGAGAGTAAACTTTCTTGTTTGTTAGCCGCACTGACTGAATTGTAAAGCTCAACAGCATTATACGTGAAAGATCTCTGATATAATGAGGTGTAGTGAAGAGGAATATTGAACTGTTCATCATGACGTAACCTTCTTGAAATTAAATTCCTACGCGGAACTAACTTATTTGCAAGGTAAATAGGTCTCTTGGTAACGACTGTTTTATGTACAAAAACCAACATACGAAACTTGAAAAGATTATTGAGCTTCAGCCACCCCAGCTCACAGATCTTGGATGTAACATGGCTATACCTACGAAGGCCGAAAACAAAACCACAACAACAATTTTGAATTTTCTGCAATCTGGTTTTTGTTATGGAGTCAATACAAGGATAAAACAGTATAAAACAGTAAAGCAGCTTAGACATAACTAAACTTTCCACCAATTTCTTTCTAGTCTTGAAATTGAGAATAGAACGATTGGAGTATAGGAGTCTTAGGCTTGCATATGTAGCTTTAGATATATTACTGACGTGGTGATGAAATCTAAGATTTACGTCTAAAGTAACACCTAGACTTTTTGCATGCGTGACGAGTGGAATATGGTCATTATTTACCCTCAAATCAATCATCCTTTCAAAATGCTCATAGCTGGTTTTGGGACAGAACAACACCGCAAAACTCTTGGTAGGATTGAGCTTCAAACAGTTAGCCTTGCAATAGTCAGTTATATTTACCAGATCTAAATTTATGTTATACGAAGCTTGATCCACATTAGTAGAGTCAAAAGTGAAGGTCAATTGTGTATCGTCTGCGTAAGTATGAATACTACAAAACTGTAATACAGTATGCAAGTCAAAAGTATAAACTAAATATAGTAAAGGACCAAGCACGGAACCCTGAGGAACACCAGAAGCAACATCGGCACTAAGAGAAACTCCTTGGCTTGTTCTTATTCGTTGCTTGCGATTATTTAAGTATGATTTAAAAAAGCAAAGAGGAACGTCAGATAGTCCGTAGTATTTTAATTTGGATAGAAGCATTTCGTGGTTAACCGTATCAAATGCCTTTGAGAAATCTAACAACACCAGCACAGTGTAAATATGATTGTCTAAGTTAGAGATAATCTCATCAGTTACGTGTAATAATGCAGATGTTGTGCTGTGACCACTACGGAAACCAGACTGACAATTTGGAAATATGTTGTACTCTTCAAAATATTTTACCAATTGCATATAAACAATTTTTTCCAATATCTTTGACAAGGCACACAATATACTAATGGGTCTCAAATCTGAATAATCTCACAAGGTTGCTCTTAGATGCAGTACCCCCGCTCCTCAATTTTCAATTGCCGAAACCCCTCCCTCGGAAGCACTCATTCAATCAATCAATAACCTTTATTTCCATACAGACAATATATAATTGTATCAGAATTGTCAATTTTTCGTTCGCTATAAACCTACAACTAATCTCAAATTGCAATGTTCAAAAATTCATCAACACGATAAAAGCACTTGTTTATCAAAAATTGCTTCAACAGGAACTTGAAGTCGTTCATATTTTTAACCGAGGTAATGTGGCATGGTAAATTATTAAAAAGAAGCGGACCAATTTTATTAGGTGATCGAAATGCCGCTTTTGATTTGCTAAAGTTTACATATAAATTATTACAAGTCCTTGTATCATAATTATGCATATCACAATTCCGCTTGAATTTTTCATTATTTTTAAAAACATGTAAGCACAAATCATATATATACAACGAAGGGACAGTTAAAATGTTAAAACTTATAAAATATTTTTTGCAACTTTCTGTTGGTGAGATGCCTGCTAATGATCGGATGCATCTTTTTTGAGACACAAATACATCTTCAGAGCGCGTTGACCAACCCCAGAAACATACTCACAATCTTAATCTCGAATCCACATTAGCAAAATAAACTTGTATCAATTGTTCAGCTGTTAAAATGGTTTTTAATTGCCTCAACACATAGCCTTGATACATCCCCATT